TTCCAGATCATAGAATATATAAGTATGGGGATTCCCAACTATACCTGGGAAACTTGGAAAGAAGGTGTGCCAATGTTATTTTGTTCTCCAGTAGTTTAAGACTCCTTTGTCCTTCAAGCTCAGAGGAGACAGAGACCTGACTGGGAATGTAACGGATCCAGTGTGGCTCTAATGTTGGTGTTCCATGTCCTCCAGCAGTCCCCTGTGCTTAAATATTAATAGTAAGTAGTTTTTTCTAATGTTAGACAACTACCCATGGCTTGTCTATAGGGAAACAGAGAAGTTAACTTTGAAAAGATTTTTATTCATTCTCCTGATCATCCAATGTTAAAAATGATATTCTAGCAATGCCAACTGATTTCACTAAACGCTGAGATCTTTTAGACCACAGGCTCCCTCTTGAGATCTATGCACATATACATTAAACTCTTTTAGCCTAGTAAATTTGGGACATACTCTTATTTATCCCAGAACTTATTTCAGGAACCTAAGTAATAATAGCAGGACAGGGGAAGACGAAGCTGGAGACTTCATTTCCTCCAAAGCCCTAAAAACTTTCCCTTTCAGAGTCTCCCTCCCCTTTTAACCACAACTTGATAAAGGGGAGTGAGAGTATGGAGAGATACAAAGGCGACAACTTTCTGTAATAATTTTTGAAATATTTCAGTACCAGCTACATGGGTAATGTGGGAGAGACATAAGAACCCAGCCTCCGCCGCAGAGATCTCCCACCTGCCAGAAGGAGAGGAACAAACAGGGCGCACCGTCTAGAGGCAGCTATGAAAGGAAATTTAACAAGGACAGTGGGGGTACAAGAAGAAGGGGTAAAATCCACCTGTAATTGGAATGCCAGGAACTGCTTCATTTCATCAGGTTGGCAAAATTTTACCAGAATCTTGAAAAAAATGGACGAGTCCAGTAGGGGTGGGAAAGGAGACAGAAATACATAATGGCAGAGCATGGTATCAAAGAAACAACAACAAAAAAGACTTGTGAAAGTGTCAAGAGAATGGTTAAAATGACTAGTATAACTAAAGAATTCACTGGATCTGGGAATTGAGAAGTATTTCTGACCTTTTGCAAGATCCATTTCCATGGTGTAGCAACTGTGAGTTAAAAAATGGGTGAAAAGCATAAAGAAAAAAAAATTAAATATATTTCACTTATATCTGGAATAAAAAAAATAAAAAAAAGCAAAACAAATAAACAGAAATAAACCCTCAAAGGGGAGGCAGGCATAGAAATATGTGCAAAGGTGAACAGGTTAAGAGATGCAAAATTCCAATTATAAATTAATAATCCACGGGATGAATAGTGTATACAGCACAGAGAATAGTCAATTAGATCATCATAACTTTGCTTGAAGACAAATGGGTACTAGACTTATTGTGGTGGTCACATCATGCGGTATATAAATGTTAAATCACTGTTGTATACCTGAAACTAATATTATATGCTAGCTATGTTTTAATAAAAAAAATTTAAAGAGTAAGTAGAAGACAAAAAAGAGGTTACAAGTTTAGACTGTGTTTGGAGCTATTTGCCTTTTTACTTACAAACATACTAGTTCAGCTACAATAGGCTTAGGCTTTACATTTCTGCAAGAAAATGACTCCTAACACAATCCACTAACTTAAAAACAAGCTTTTAGACACAATCCATTCTTTATGAACCTGCCTATGTTATTTTACATGACTAACATAAAATCAACACTTCTGTAAGTTTACTCTGCCATCACTATTTTTTCTTTCATATAGTTCAAAATAAATAACACCTATACTTGGTAATAGTAGAAAAGGTGCTTTATTTTACATATCATTGGTACACAATACATAAAACTGCCTAAAGTAAATCTTGAAAAACATAACTGCAGTTAAACCTTAAGTGGTGAAAGACCAAGTCTATTTTGCAACTTACTTCATTTATGACCAAATGACTACAATAATTTTAAATACGAATAATCTTTTTATATCCAATGTTACAAATGATTTTTATGCTACAAGTGCTGCACTTTTTAATAAAAAAAAATCTCCAGTTATAGTAGACTATATCTCTAATCAGTACAAATTTTTACTAGTCTACAAGTCTTTGAAATAATGATCAACAGTTTCACCTCCTTATAGATTATATTTACGTAATTGGGTTATAGGGCAGAGGGCCTCAGACATGCAATGAGATTATTTCCATTAAAAAAAAATGCAGGTGAAAGTGAGTTTATAATATCCTATTTTAATACTAGTTAAATTGTCAAAACAGGTTACTAAATTAAAATGAAACCAATACAATATTTTAGAAAACATAATTCTAGAGCATGCAACATCAAAATCTTTTTACTACATAAATGAACCAAAGTTGCAGAGCCCAGGAAGAGGACCGTGGCACAAAGACTTGTACATCTGAATTGCCTACCCAGGTGGGAGCAGTAAAAAAACTAATTTAACTAAGTGTAAATCCTCTTATGACATCTGCATTACATAGCCCACTGCTACTCAACTGGGATCTCCCCTTAGAAATGTACCAATCACAAGCTAAATGCGCTTCTCTTATTATTTACCCCAATCCATTCTAATCCTGAACACACAGCTCAAAGAGGTCTTATTAACTGTTAATGTCAAAGCCACAGAGATTTCTCAATGGCATCTTTCAGTCACCAATCACTTATCAGAGAAATAAATGTGACTAGCATTTAATGTACAAATGCTACATAATGATAATAGACTCTAGGCCAATTCTCCAAGTAAAAACATTTGCTATTTTAACAAATCCTTTCGGAAAGAAAGAATACCTTTCTAGAAAATAAGGCAGACGTTAGAACCAAAAGTTCATATTCATCTCCTGGTCTAGGACAGTAGAAGCATTTAAGCAAAGTAAACTAAATCAAATACAAAATATAAGCAAAGCATACTCAAACAAATATTCCATTCTTTGCTTAAAATCAGCTTATTCCTTGTCATTAAGAGAAGTGCTTCATGATACAAACTGTTAATTTATACAAAGAATAAAGGACTTAAAGCCAGACCTTTTTCTAATAAAGCAAACAGATCATTAAAATAATTGGGCATGATACAAATACTTTCTATAACTTTCCATTCTTACTCTTTATAGCTAAATGCACACACATACACAACAAACCCTAGCATTTAATATGTGCAAAATTGCTTACCATTTATTTTAACTTTGGTTACGTTTTTGTTTAGCCTATATCGACACATTATGGAAGCTATACAAATGATAACAAACATAATAATGAGGTAAAATTCTACTAGTGCAAAAAGCAAGCATATGCCAAAAAGCAAAGCATATGAGTTAAACAAATGCAGAATGAAGCTCTCACCAAGGGTGGTGCTGGGATAACAAACCAGAGAAGCTCCTTGTAAACATTGTTTGTAAAATACACATTTAAAGATTAAGGATTCATACAGCCACAAAAAAAGATATTCTAATAACACCATAGTAGTGCATTTATTTTATCTTTAGAGTTTGTAAATCACTCAGTATGCATCTAACAACTTGCATATTTTCTTCAAGAGAAATTTACTTAATGAGACACATTAATTACAAATACTGTGGTATAAAAATCCCAGTTCTTTACAAAAATTATATATTAAAATACTCTATACACTTTAAATTAGTAACTGGAACATACATATAGTATATCAATTCTGCACAATTAAATCTATCTTTGTGTGGAGTATTATACATGAAGTTGGAGGACATAGCTACTCAGTCAACCTAAACTGGCATAGGTTATAAGATATAAAAAAAGATAGACCTGTGCCGCTGCAGTTACTGCAGTTCTTAGTTTGAAATATCTTTGTGCAATTATTGCTCTGTATCTATTCCCAATTTGAATAGGCAGTGAAACCAAGAAATTCCTAAAAGATTTAAAACAGATTACCTGTAGCACAGTATCCACAATGCCTATCTGCATCTTTAAGGTTGTAATAGAACCTGAGTAAGCTATCTAATGCTTATATTTCAGTTGTAAATATTTTTATACAATTTTGAGGTAAAAACAATGCAAAAATAAAATATTTAGAGCATTTACAAAAATCTTACAAATGTTTAAAAGGCTATTTCAAAATCTGTGTCCTTTTAAGGTGCTTTTTTTTTTTTTCCCCCCAATAAGCGGAACGTGCAGTTTAATTTTGAATGTTTTAGTTTTAGCAAAAGCAAAATTAGGACCAATGAAAATGGATGTTAAAATGTTCAGGGACATACTTCACTTCTGATGAGAATATAGAATTTAAGTGCTGTAAGGGACCTTAAAAGTAAATTTTTAAAACTCCCTCATCTATTAATGAGGAAATTGAGGGCCAGATAAGTTAAGTGCTTTGGCCAAAAATATATTCCAATATATCATCCTAATATGAATCGAGAAAACCCATTATATTTTGCCATAATTTGGGAAAATAATAAAATTCAAAAGCAGTTTCTGAACTTGCCTCTTTTTAGATTTCAGTAAGTTCTGTTCCAAATATATATAAACGAAGAAATCAAATGGCTGCTAAGACTAATAAAACAAATATTACTCAATAGGAGACACTAGTGAGAGGATCACTGATCATATAATGTTAGAGGAAGTACTCATAGTCAGGGCCTTTACAATGTAGGGAATGTTTACGGTATAAGACAGCACACTGTACTAGAATCAGCCAGTTACTAGAATCTCCTCAATAACCCTAGGATGACTGAGTTACATGACCTTTATAAAATATATTGGGGTAATAATGTCTTCTAGCTTTTATCTCAATTTTACTATTTTCTTTTATTAAAGAGCTATAACTAAAACAAAGAATCCATATACTAAATCTCAGAGAGTCTTTGCTTCTTTTCTATTTTTATTTGGATCTAGAATTGAGCAAATACATTTTAAGAACAGCTTACAAATTCAAATTCAGAACTGCTAGAAATTCAAAGAATACTCTTTTTAAATGACAAATCTTCATAACCAGTTACTAATAAATAATCATAATCACAACAGCTTTAGTAAAAACAATTCAATTTAAAGGTGCTTTTTTATTGTTACCTTGAAGCCATCGAACTTGTGTAGCTGGTCCATATCCCTTTTCATTCTTTGCTGATATTCTGAACACAATGGCAGGTCTGGATGTATAATCAATATGTGCATTTGCAAGTTGCCCAGTGGTTACTATACATGATGTCTTAAGACCACAATAAATCCTCATAAAAACAAGTTGACTTGGATTATCTTGTATTTGTGCTGTGCGGATTGCCAAATAGGCTGAATATTCCAAAATATTTCCAGAAGGTGAAGTTGGAGGTTCCCAGGAAAGATGGATACCCTCAACATTCTTGAAGAGAGGAGAGGAAAAAAACAGGTGAAGGTTCTGAAGTTTTCTCTACTATGTTAATTCTACCTTTAGAATACAAAGTGCTTTTTGTATTAGATGTTAGAACTCTTATTGTTGAGTTTTTAAAAAAATATATATTTTATTGATTTTTTACAGAGAAGAAGGGAGATAGAGAGCTAGAAACATCGATGAGAGAGAAACATCAACCAGCTGCTTCTTGCACACCCCCTACTGGGGATGCGCCCGCAACCAAGGTACATGCCCTTGACCGGAATCGAACCCGGGACCTTTCAGTCCGCAGACCGATGCTCTACCACTGAGCCAAACCGGTTTCGGCTATTGTTGAGATTTAAAAACCTACCTTAATTGGATCTGCAATGTGTAATTAATGCCCACTTTTCAAAAACATATCTAGACTTAATTGTCTGCTTGTCTTATGCCAAGAAAGGTATTTTTCTTGCTTGAAAGCAGGTATTTTCTCTAAAATTTTAATGGGGCAGGACCTTAGGATAAAATATAATCCAATTTTATGTATTCTATTAAATTTTTCCAGCTCAAACCTTTGGTTCCATAAACAAGAATACAATTAATATTAAGAAACAGCAGATTTCTCTTTCTTTAACTGAGATACTGTAATCCTGCTTGAAATCTGGTTCTTAAAAATATTTCGACTGGTTAACAAATAATATTCTTTTAATCTTTTAATACACCCTTTTTAAATATCTCCTATTTCATTAGACACTAACAAGAATCTCTTTATTGACAGTTTTACATCATGTACAAAGTTTCAAATAATTTACATAACCAAGTCTTAACCTGACATCTCACCTTTGAAATTCTGACTGCAGAAGGAGCTCCAGGAAAACCAGGAATACAAGTTTTAAATTCACTGATTTTGCTGAAAGGGCCTATTCCACAACCATTGATAGCAGCAACTCTGAATCTGTATCCTGTGCCTGGAACAAGATCTTGTTTCTTAAGTAAACTGTAGTCAGGGACGTCTGCATTTCCTATCTAAAATGCAATACATGCAAAAGTAAAGAAAAGGTGCAATTAGTTATTTTGTAATAAAACAACGTTAAAAAAATACATTTTATTGATTTTTTATAGAGAGGAAGGGAGAGAAATAGAGTTAGAAATGTCGGTGAGAAACATCTATCAGCTGCCTCCTACACACTCCCCACTGGGGATGTGCCCACAACCAAGGCACATGCCCCTGACCGGAATCGAACCTGAGACCCCTGAGTCCGCAGGCCAAAGCTCTATCCACTGAGTCAAACTGGTTAGGGCTAAACAAAACTTTTAAATAATGAATTATTTAAAGGTTCTAGTCTACATTTATGTATTTCCCCCTTTTCCCACATGGAATGAGACCTCCAATACCAAAACAACTGAGCCCATAAATTGGTGATTCTTACTCAAGAAAAGTGCCCTTCCAGTTGAGAATCACTGATTATAAAAAGAAATGCAAGGATATTGTGCACATGAAGAGTATATAGGTAGCAAAAATTAACAACCACTATAACCAAAGTAACAACTATCTCATCTCCAAGCTGAATAAATGTTAAATAACTGGATTTCATACTCTAAGTAGGAAAATTATAATATTTACAGCTTTCAAATAATTTTTACATATTCTCCCTAACTTTTACTACCCCTCTGTGAAACATGCAGCACCAACACATCATCCCATTTTAAGGGAGCTATGTCATCTCCATAGGAAACTGAGTCTCACAGAGCTTAAATGAGTGACTTGTCAAAGGTCACACTGTTGAGTCCTAGAAATAATCATGTAAACCCAAGTTTACTGATTCTTTTTTTTTAAAAAAAATATATTTTATTGATTTTTCACAGAGGAAGAGAGAGGGATAGAGAGTTAGAAACATCCATGAGAGAGAATCATGGAACAGCTGCCTCTTGCACACCCCCTACTGGGGATGCGCCCGCAACCAAGGTACATGCCCTTGACCGGAATCGAACCTGGGACCTTTCAGGCTGCAAGCCGACGCTCTATCCACTGAGCCAAACCAGTCCCGGCCCAAGTTTACTGATTCTTAATGTTAAGTTCTTTTTACCTTTTAGGAAAAACAAGTAGCTGTTAGGACCTTATATGGATATTTCCTTATATTTGAAATCAAACTGCAGTCAGAAACTTCAATAGGCATAATGCTAACAAATTATTAACCAAGACTTCTATTTTATTTTCAAGAATTGGAAAAATATAAAAAAGAGGGATACTGGAAGTAATTTTAGAAAAACTAAAATATAATGATAACTTATATATTCACCATTTGTGCAGATCTTTGGGAGATTCAATTTATTTCTTGGCAATTCTCTCTCTGGAATTCCCTATTCCAGATAAAAATTAGTTCAGTATGCTTTGGGGGCTGTTATCTATTTCACAATCCTCACAGGGTTAAAGTCTTATTTATATGTATGAGATCCTCCTTTAAGGGATTTTAGAACCAAGGGAAACTTAAATGGTATTCACTAGCCTAATTTTTTAAAATTATGAAATCAGAAATAAAGTTCAGAGTAAGAAAAACATTCTATTCTCTAAACACATCACATAATAAAATTAGAGATATTTTAAAAAATCCTTATCCATACTAGCCAGACTATATTATTTATGACTCAAAACTCAGCCCAGTGATTGCATAAGATTTTTAAATTACCTGCTTGTGCCCTAGCCGGTTTGGCTCAGTGGATAGAGTGTCAGCCTGCGGACCAAAGGGTCCCCAGATTCAATTCGGGTCAAGGGCTCATACCTCGGATGCAGGCTTCTCCCACGCCCTGGCCCTTGTCAGGGCGCATGCAGGAGGAAACCAATCGATGTGTTTCTCTCACATCAATATTTCTCTCTGTCTTTGCCTCTTTCTTCCACTCTCTCTAAAATCAATGGGAAAATATCCTCGCTCACCCGATTAAAAAATAAAAATCAATAAAGAAATTACCTGCTTGTGATATATTTTATAGAAAGATCCTTTAAAAAGAATACAACATAACTGGGTATATAGAATTCTTAATTACAGATTGTGAACAGATCCTAATTTCATGCATTCAAGTGTCTTCAATTAAAGTTACATAAAAAAAAAAAAAAAGACCATTCTAGAGGCTTATAACTCAGTGTAGAAAATACATCAATAGCTACCTTTGAGATACTTTGCTTCCCTTTTGGCAGCAAATAAAACTGGCTCACCAACGCTGTATTGTTTTTAAAAATTCCTACATCACACCACTGTCGTTCTCCTGCTTTCGTTGTGGCCACTGGGGTTGAAGGAGTCTCTTTCTGATTTCAGAGAAAGAAAAATTTATGAAGACTCTTATTGAGCATATAATAAATTTCTAGATTTAATAACTCCATGCAGTGATCTACAAGTAAGCATATGGGGAAACACTGCAACATTAATAGTTTATAAGTAAATAAACTCTTAAGAGATTAGGTCAACTGACAGTGAAACAGGGATGCCAATTCAAACATAGCGAGTGACAGGCATTCTCCAGGTCAGTAGCTCTGTACTATCATCCTCGTTGGAGTTAGCATGCTTTCCAATCCACTAGTGGTATGTTAAAATGCCAGCTGTTTTATAGAACATTGTCATTTCAGAGACTCTCTCAGAAAGTGTAATCTCTTTAGTGTGACAATACAACTGGCTCCAAAAGGAGCTAATAAGAAAAAAATTCATTCCAAGCTGGCTTATTTCTAGATTCAAGAACAACTAGCAGAAATTCAGTGATCTTTGCACTTGAAATACCTGTGATTCTCCAAACCTAAAAGGAGAAAAAATGTTCAAAACTAAAATGCAATTTGAATACACTTTAGTATATGTACTAAAGAGGAACAGATTAAACAGTTTTACATTTTTTACCTTGCTTTAAAACAAATAAACTTCCTCTACCTTAAGCTACTTTTATGATAAGTGAATTATACTTATCCCTGGAACTAACCTTTTTAAGCCATCTTCTTTATAAATGAGACACTGTTTCCAGAAGCTCAAAACAAATGTGCACTTCAGTTATTTATTTCTGTCTTAAATATATAACAGCAGAGGTACATGCTTACAATTCACATTATTTGTTATTTAGGCTATCACACACGACAAAGTGAACTAATCAAGAGTCTTTAAGGTTTTTCTTTAAAAAAGAGGAATAGTTTTGAACTTGTTTTCATTTTTAAAGTTGTAAAAACTCTCTTCAACAACTTTTATAAAACAACTGGCTCCAAATGAAATAACAAATACCATCCTGGCTGATGCATCACAAAATAGATTTGAGAAAAAAAGTTCACTTTAATAATTCTTCCCTGAGAAGAATCTAAGAACACTAGGATTTAACTTCTGTAAAGGTAAAAGCTGATGACAGTAAATATACTATCAAAATCAGTAAAATCATGATTGGGGAAAAAAAATTAAAACCATAGACAATTCTTAAAAACTCTAAAAAGTAAATATTAGGTCAAATAAAAACTCTTGCTCATAGCAATAAAGTTGAAATAATTGATAATTTTAAAATAAATAAAAGTATATGCACACACATGCACACAAACATGTATTGTCCTTATATTTATCTAATTAAGACAATCTTGGTATCTTTGTGAAGCACTTTCCTAGCATTTTAAATTTGGTGCCATGCAGACCAATTCTAGCTTCCCTTTAAATCTGGCTGATTTAAATATTTTATGTAAGGCAGCAAATAAATTGTCCAATGTCAGAGAACACTGGGCTATCCTATAGGTATGTCTAACCCAATATCATAATATTCTGTTGTTCTTCTATTAAGCAGCTAGCAATAGAGCCATTCAAGTTTTATATTCTATAACATATCTTTTTACTCCTAAAACCATTAATGTAATTTACATACCTATATCTACATACACACTTTTGATTATGAAAGTAACACATTTCATTATAGAAAAATATTGAAAGCATAAAGAATAAAATAAAAATTATCTGTGGCCCCACAACCTAGAAAAATTCATCTAGAATTGTAGTGTGGATGTGTGTGAATGCATTTGATATATGAATGGATGTATTAGGTGTATTTTTTAATAAAATTGGGACCACAATATGTATGTACATCTGTGTGTGTGTCTTTTTTCACTTAATATTACTGTGAACATTCTTCCTATTCAACCTTTTATTTCTCAATCTATGTCAAATCATTACTTGAGTACACACACGACTATTTCTGTAATTTATGTAAAAAATGCTCAGTATTTAAAGTCTATTTAACCATCTGTAAACATATGGTCTCCATGTCATATACTTACAGAAAACGGCATTGCTGCAGTATGTGTCTCCACACGGCTGATCTTAGTTGCAGGCAGTGCACAGATTTCATCAACTAAAAATTAGACAATTCATCAGATAAGACTTACATAATCACTTATTAGACACATTAAAATATAAATTATAAATATACAAAATTAGCCAGAAGGAAAAACACCACAAGAACTATGTATTCTCTAATTCAAACTAATTCACAAAGTTGATTTTTTCAGGGTTTGATAACCAGCTAGAACTTCAGCAAATATTTACCAAAGATGAAACACAATTCCTAATTATAAAAAAAAAAAAATAAGAATTTACAAAATCAGAAATCAATCACGCTAGGAGAATTGTTACTCCATAGTCTAAAACTAATCTTTTCTAAGGAAAAAAAAATTGTTGAATATATTCACGGTATTGTGTTTCAGTGTGTGTCAATTTAAATATTTTATGTAAGACAGCAGAGAGTACTCTATATAATAAAATGCTAATATGCTAATTAGACCAAACAGCCAAACTACCATCAGGACAACATTCTGGACAACCTTCTGGATGAAGCTGGGACTACAAGGGCCGGTGGGGGCTGCGCAGGCTGAGCCCCTTGTACAAATTTCATGCATCAGGCCTCTAGTATTACATAATAATTTTAATTGAAATAATTTATATGTTTATATATAGTTCAATTCAAGGTGAACTGTAACTCCCAGCTAAAATAAATCTGATTTATATACAAATAATGGTTCAAAATACAGTATGTGAAACACATTTCATTTCCCATTTAGAACAAGTTTGATGAATTTACATATAAAAATGCTCCAAAATACAGTATGTGAAATACATTTCAAACCTTCAGATTTGGTATTGAATGTTGTTAGTGAAGTTTCATCTTTAACAACTGCCCCATTTGTACTGGAGGATTCAGTTTTAATGGTCTGCTGGGTTACCATAGTCTGTGCGCTGCAAACAGTACTGGATACAGAAGTTTCAGGAATTACTGTTCTTAAGTCCAGGCAACTACTTAGAACACCTAAATTTGCTGAAGTGTGAGGACCTAAAATTAAAGGGAAAAGATCAATTATTAACATAATAACTGCAGATAATTGTTGTATCTTAGAGTTCTTATCATATAATTCTTGGTATTTTTCCATTTTAAAATCATAAACATGGGCACCATAAATGTCATTCATATTAACCATTAGGCAGAAAATATTTAGAAAAATAAAGTGTATAATGTCTAAAACAGGTGTCCAACTTCTCAGCTCCCTCTTCCATTCTAAACACTGAATCATTGTTCTCCAACTCTACTAAAACATGCAACAGATGGCCTTGTCTCCCGTTTTAGGGGGGAAAATAGAGGTCATCAGGTATGAATGCCATCAATTTTGTGCCTTCTCCTGTCCTCAACTAGAAAGGTATTTATGACTATGTCCACCCTCTCCATCTTCTCTTCCATTTCAGAGAATGAGCTGACATCTCTCCTAAGGAAGTCTAATCTCTCTTCCTGATCCCATTCCTCCCCCATATTTCAGGATCCTCTGACCAGTCATTCCTCCCTCTATAGAATTTATAGATTCTTTTTCGTTAGTAGTTTTTGGCCCTCAGTTCATAGCATTATCAAGTCTCTCAAGCAAATACTCACCTTCCTTAACCCCCCACCTCCCAGTTATCCTGTTACTCTCTCCCCTTGCTATTCCCTTCTGAACAGTCCTATTTCCCTGCCCTCTGCAAATGTGGTTTCTGAAACACTACCTATTTTAATGAAATGGCTCTGACAGACATCAATGATTTCTAAGGGATACTTTTCAATTTTAAATCACCTCACCTTTCTGCAATGTAAACTATACTGACCATATACTCCTTTCTGAAGCTATTCCTTTCTATAGGTAACTTATCTTCATTCATTCTGGAATATGAAGATTTACTACCTACCAGACTTTGTGCTCGTCTCGATAACGGTGAGACAAAGAAAGTATGGTACACACCTTATGAACGTACAGTCACATGGTAGAGAGAGAGATGCACACACTAGTCACAAACTGTGATGCCCACTTCAGAGGGAAAAAATGATACCAATATTTTTGGTTCATTTCCTAACCTGCTAGGAACCCCTTTTTAATCTCTTCAGCTAGCTTCTCTCCTTCAAATGATCCTTTAAATGCAGGCATTCCTAAGCCTTTTTTCTCCTTTTACATATTTCCCCTGTGTTTTAACTACCATTCATGATTATACTTCTTTCAAATACATGATACGGGCACTGTACCAGGTGCTGGAAATAGAGCAATGAACACATCGAACAGGGTCCCTGCTTTGAGAAGTTTACATGTTAGGGACTCTTAACTTCTAAAGTTATATTTACAGACAAGAACTGCCTCCTAGACTCCAGACCTAAGTATCCAACTATCCATTAGAAATCTTTACCATATGTCCCTCAAATGTCTCAAAAACAGTCAAATTCACACTTGCTCCTATATTTCTTCTCTTGATGACAAGTATTAGCAACCTTTGAATGTCCAACACTGGGAGTCATGTTCAACACGTTTTTATTTCTCATATCCAACCAATTCTCAAGACTAATTGTCTCCAAAATAATGTATTCTCTTTCCTCCAACTCACTGACTGCTTTAGTCTCGATGTATCTCTCAGAATCCTGAAAGTTTCCTCCTAACAAGTTTCCCAAACTATTTCTATTATAATTCTTCCTGATGATGAGACTAGAGTTCCCTTTCCAAAATAAAACAAGAAACTAATCATGTCACTCTTCCACTCTTGAAAAATACCAGCTATCCCAACCAGCAGAGAAAAAAACCCCAATCTGCTCATGTTAACCTGAGATTGGGTAGCCATTTACTCACACCCTTGAGTATCGATGATGTGCCAGGTACTGTCACTGTTTAACTACTTTGATTTTCCCATTTGCCTAATATTCATTTTATCCAGACTGCCTTACAATGTAGAATTTAGAGTATATTAATATTTTGAAATCTCATAGCTCATATTTGTTTATAAGAGTGTAAACTTATAAAATAGACATAGAAAATCACTACACAAAAGAAATTAAAGTTGAGATCAAGGACCAAGTTTCTATAATTTTGACCAAATAATTTTCTTATATCAGAAAATCAGTAAGACAAAAGCACTCTCCTCTTCCACAAGTAATGAAAAGACAAAACTTATAAGAAATTATTTTCCTTGAATATTTTTTCTGCAATCAACTTATAAAGAAAAATGGAAATAAAAAGAATATTACACTGGCTAAGTTTGAATCATTAAAAAGGAATTAAATTTAATCAGCTGTCATAATTTTTTTCAAATTGTAAAATAAAGTCACAGGAACCTATGTCAAGGATGTATCAGAATGAAATTTATAAAATAATTTTAGGTACTAAAATCAGAAGCAATGCTAAATATATCTCATCTGGTTTCAGACTATTCAAACTAACTTATTTTAAATATAAAGATCACCAAATCATAAGCTTTCCCATGATTGCAATAGCTCTCATAAGTGAACTATCTTTCTGAAAATAATCCAGTTATTTGCTGAACAAATATTTACTAAGTGACTACTTTACCAGGCTTGAATCTGGGTGCTAAGAAAATAGAAGTGAATAAGATAGACAAAAAAATCCCTGTCCAAAATAAATAATATTAAACAGTTATAAAAGCTAAGAAAACAGAGCAATAGGATAGTGACACTGAACACACTGGCCAACTACAAACACAAGAGCTTCCTCACTTAAATTATTTCTTTTCATTTTAAATGTATTTTTTATTGTTATTTAAAGTCCATTGCTCATAATTATTCATTACTATTCAATTTATTAATTGTAATTGACATCATACATCACTCTAATCAATTTGTTTGGTATATTATTATTTTGAAAATGGATCAAAACCAGTATATAACATTTACTTTTTCAAGCACTCAAAAAGTCCCTACCATTATTATAAAAAGCTGTAGCTTTACTTAAAACACTATCTTTATACCTTCATTTTTCCTTAGCATATCCATCATACAACTATTATGATTAGAAGCATTAGTTGCCAAAGGTGAATGTAAAACGGCATTAGAATCAGTCGATGATTTGAGATCTGGTTTGTTTTTCACTGGAGTTCCTTTCATAACTGTATGTTCAGTTTTTGCACTGTTCATTGTATCACTGATCTACAAGAAATAAAATAGTTTATTGTAGCAAGCAATGCTCAATTGCATAGAAATACATGTAAAAAACAAGCAAATTTACAACTTAATGATTTTGAAAAAAAGTTAACCAAAATATTAAATTATACTCTTAATTTGTAAGAATTATTTTTAAAATTTAAAATAGTTTAAGAAAACAATTTCTTTTTACTTAATTTCCATTCTCAAATGGCTTGTTCTAAAGGGAAAGGGGAGGGTATATTTTGAGGGGAAAATCTACATATTTATAACTTGTAGTTAATATTTAAGTAAATATGGATGTAACATAGGAGACTGCACCACAGCTACTGAATCTAACATTCTGGTTAAATTTTCTTAAGGATCAGACATGTATAATACAGATCTGACGACTCCTAAAAGCAAAATCTCAGTTACATGGACTCTTCAAGCAAAATAATTATTCTGGATAACTGAGCTTTCCTTATAGATATCAAGATTTAATACACAGACACATCAATATGCTTTACCATTAAACATTTTAGATAGGAATCATACTAATTATATTTTATTTTTCTTAGTAAACATACTATAAAGAATACATTAAAAGTTTTTTCTATTTCATATCATTAATGTGAACATCAGTTATTATATTACAACTAGAGGCCCGGCACAAAGGGCCTCGTGCACTGGTCTGGGGGGGCGGGGTTCCTAAGCCTGGTCTGCACCTTCTAACAGTCCAGGTCCCCTCCAGCTCCTTACCACCCGCCCGCTCGCTGCTCCTTACTGCTCAGCTCGCTGCTCCTTAGCACTGGAACAGAGAGGCTCCTGTTGTGCGCCAGCTGGAGCCCGGCTTCTGGCTGAGTGGCATTCCCCTTATGGGAGTGCACTGACCACCAGGGGGGAGCTCCTGTGTTGAGCGTCTGCCCCCTGGTGGTCAGTGTGCTTCATAATGACCAGTCACTCTACCATAACGGTCACTTAAGCTTTTATTATATAGATTAGTAACTTCGCTTTTTCAGGAACCCTCAAGGAGAAACAAATGGCACTAGGGCCAAGAACACAAATTCCCTTATTGTTATTGTTATCACCAGAGGCCCAGTGCATGACATTTGTGCATGGGGAGGAGGGAGTCCCCTTAGCCCAGCCTGGGCCTTCCGGCAGTCCTACGCTCTCTCACAGTCCAAGACCCGTTGGGGGATGTCCGCCTGCATTGAGCACCTCCCCCTGGTGGCCAGTGCACATCATAGTGACCAGTCATTCCACCGTTGGGTCGATTTGCATATTAGTGTTTTATATTATAGGATACTTACAGGTGTAATAAACCATAAAAATGATCTGATTTTATTCCGATACTCCAATATTCCTGCTCCTTTTTAGTTACCTGTTTTTCGTTACTTTTCTGTCAATTATAACTATATTGTCAACTATAAATTCTCATGGCTCTACGGAAACTTAACATGCCCTGTACCAGTAGTCGGCAAACTCATTAGTCAATAGAACCAAATATCAACAGTACAATGATTGAAATTTTTTTTTTAATATATTTTATTGATTTTGTACAGAGAGGAAGGGAGAGAGATACAGAGTTAGAAACATAGATGAGAGAGAGAGTCTTCGATCAGCTGCCTCTTGCACACCCCCTACTGGGGATATGCCCGCAACCAAGGGACATGCCCTTGACCGGAATCGAACCGGGGACCTTTCAGTCCCCAGGCCGATGCTCTATCCATTGAGCCAAACCGGTTTCGGCTGAAATTTCTTTTGAGAGTCAAGTTTTTTAAACTTAAACATCTTCTAATGCCACTTCTTCAAAATAGACTTGCCCAGGCCGTGGTATTTTGTGGAAGATCCACACTCAAGGGGCCAAAGAGCCACATGTGGCTTGTGAGCTGCAGTTTGCTGAAAACGGCCCTATACTTCTTTTCTGATTGATAGTGATGGTGCTACTGTTAATAAATAATGATGATAGCCACAACCATTAGGAAGCATTATACTATGTGGCAGGAATTCTATAAGTTGAATAATATGATCCCTATTATTCATGAAAAAAAAAAAAGAGATTCAGAGAGCAAAAGTAATCTACCCACAGTAAAGTAGTAATAACAGAGACAGAATTTTAACAAAGGTGTATGTCACTGCAAAGTCTCCATATTATAATGTCTCTCATGTACTCTGCTTAACAATCAGGTATTTATCTAGTCTAACTAGAAGTGTTTAAAATGAGAAAAATAAGCCCTGAAGATTTCTGGTTAAACATAGCAGATTAAATATGTTTCACGAGATTCTTCCAAAAACCCACCTCAAATAATCATAAAGAAATCTTTGTCTCTAGAGAGGCATAATCAAAAGAGGAATAGAGTAAGAAATTATTATACCTCATTATAAACCTTATAGTACTATCTAAATTTTTAAGAATCTATAATAATAAAAGTGTAATATGCTAATTAGACTGGACATCCTTCCAGATGACCTTCCCAACGAGCTGGGCTGCAAGGCAAGCCTGGGTCCCGGATGCCAGACAGAAGCCGGTGCCAGCAGCCAGGGGAAGGAAGGCCTACTCGTGCACTAATTTCGCGCATTGGGCCTCTAATTTATATATAAAATATATACTCAACATATAACATATGTGTTTATAGCACCCCTTAGCCATAGTTTTGCTTTTTGCGATTTCAATTACCTTATCAATCAACCATGGGCCAAAAATATTACATGGAAAATTCCAGAAATAAACAACTAATAAATCGTAAGTTCTACATTGCATGGAATTCTGAGTAGCATGGTAAAATCTCCGGCTGTCCCACTCCATCCTGCCTGGATGAGAATCCACCCTTTGTCCAGTGTAGCCATGCTGTATACACTACCTTCCTACCCACTGGTCACATAATAACCATTTTGGTTATTAGATGGACTATTGTGATATCACAGAGCTTGCCTTCAAATAACTCTTTATTTTAATTAACAATGGCCCCAAAGTGCAAGAGTTGTGATGTTGGCAATTTAGATATGCCAAAGAGAAGATATAAAGTGTTTTAAGTAAAAAGGTGAAAGTTCTCAACAAGGAAATTTAAAAAAATCATATGCTGAGATTGCTAAGATCTATGATAAGAAAAAACCTTCTATCTGTGAAATTGTGAAGGAAAAAGAAATTTGTGCTAGTTTTGCTACCACACCCAAAACTGAGAAAGTTACAGCCACAGTACATGGTAAGTGCTTAAATGAGATGGAGAAGACATTAAATTTGTGGGTGAAAGAATGATCAGAAAACGGGTCCCAACATGTTGTGCAGAGAGAACTTAGCTCATATGAAGACTTTAGCAAGGGATCTCCTGAAACAAGCGACCACATTCATATAACCTTTATTACAGTCTATGGTTACAAATATTCTATTTTATTATTAACTACCAGAGGCCTGGTACACAAAATTTGTGCACGGGGGCAGGGAGAGGGTTTTCCTTCAACCCAGCCTGCACCCTCTCCAATCTGGGACCCCTCGGTGGGATTGGGCCTAAACAGGCAGTCAGACATCCCTCTCAAAATCCAGGACTGCTGGCTCCCAACTGCTCGCCTGCCTACTTTCCTGATTTCCCCTTACCTCTGCCTGACAACATGATCACCCCCTAACCACTCCCATGCCACCCTGATTGATGTCTAACTGCTCCCCTGCCAGCCCCTTTGCCCCCAACTTCCCTCGTCTGCCGGCCTGGTCACTTCTAACTGCCCTCCCCTGCTGGCCATCTTGTATCCACATGGGGGCAGGACTTTGACCACATGGGGGCAGCCATATTGTGTGTTGGAGTGATGGTCAATCTGCATATTACTCTTTTATTAGATAGGATAGAGGCCTGGTGCACAGGTGGGGGCCAGCTGGTTTGCCCTGAAGGGTGTCCCAGATCAGGGTGGGAGTTCCCTCGGGGCATGGGGCAGCCTGAGTGGGGGGGGCCTGTGGTGGTCTGAAGGCCGGCCATGTCCCCTAGTGACCCAAGCGGAGGCCCTGGTACCTGAGATATATTTACTTTCTACAATTGAAACTTTGTAGCCTGGAGCAGAGCCAAGCTTCCTGCTCACCCAGGGGTGGCAGCCATTTCTGTTTGGATTTGTTTACCTTTTATAATTAAAACTTTGTGTAGCCTTGAGTGGAAGCTTAGACTGGCCAGGGCAGGTGGAAAGCTTGGCTTCCTCCGTTGCCGGGGAAATGCCTCCCTCCTGCTCTCTGTGGCTGTAGCCATCTTGGTTGGGTTTATTTGCATACTAGCTCTGATTGGCCAGTGGGTGTGGCCAGTGGGCATGACTTGTGGGTGTAGCAGTGACGATTAATTTGCATGTTACTCTTTTGGTAGGTAGGATTATTGCTAATCTCTTATTATGCCTATTTTATAAATTAAACTGCATCACAGACTATGTATGTAGAAGAAAAAACAATATATAGGGCTTGGTACTATCCACAGCTTCAGGCATCCACTGAGGGTCTTAAAATGTACCTCCCCAAAGAAAATGGGGGATTATTTTGTGTGCGTGTGTGTGTGTATGTGTGTGAATATATTAATATGGCCTACTCAGAAATAACTGTATGGACTTTATTATATCCTCTTTTTGGCATAACAAGTCTTTTTTGCTAATTATAGATCCTCTGCCATGTTCAGAACACCTGAGCCTATATCTACATCATTTTCCTTGAAAAGAATGTACTATGAATGTAGAGCACAGTTTGTCAGATAAGAGCAGTGTAAATCCTAGTAAGCTTATTCATTAATCTCTACAAAAACCTACTGTGAAGCTCTTCATAAACAAGAAATAACCTCACACACACCGGTGCTCAACTTAGCAACTCATATTCTTTGTTAAACAAAATACATAAATATATTTCATATATATTTTGAAAGTACATCTTTAGAAATTTAAAATGTGTATCATATTTAGAAATGGCAAAATCCTATATTATAATGAGGCAATATGAAAATTTACCCTCAGGCCATCACAAGATGGCACCCACAATGGAGACGAGGTTCCTGTAACACAAGATGGCTGTGTCCACAGCAGAGGCAGGTTCCCATAATGAGCAATCAGCAGGGACATGAGGTTGCATCCCCTGCCCAGCGGGGCTTGACTGAGGACCCCAAGCTGCGCTCCCCACCTGGCAGGGCTTGATGGGGGACCTCAGGCCACATCCTCCACCCCAGTGCTGGGCCAGGGGATGCATGCCCAGTGTGCACCAGGGGACCTGAGGCTGGGACCCCACCCAGCAATGCTTGATGGGGGTGGGCTGGTTGGGTCTGGAACTCACCCAATGGGGGTGGGGCTGGCCGGGTCTGGGTCTCACACAATTTTGAGGCACATGCAGGTGAGTGGGGTCTTGACTCTGGGTCCTGCAGTACAACTGCAGATTCTGACAGGAGGAAGATTTTCATATATATTTTATTAATTTTCTTTCATCTCTGACATTTCTATTATAAAGGGCAAATACCAATATTAAAATATTTCCTCTAATTAAGTCCCTTTTAATGTACATGAATTACTTTTAATTAGTGGCCCAGTGTAATGCCATGTGTAATGAGGTCAGGGGTTTTTAATTCAGGCTACTGTCACTATGATCTATGGACCTTTCTTTAAAAACACAGCTACCTGAACATCATCCTAAAGATTCTGCTACTACTAGATCTGGGGAAAGGCCTAGGACTCTGTGTGTTTGCTTTTTAATCTCAGGTCATTCTGATGTACAGCCAAGACTGAGAAACCCTGTCCTAAGGTAATATGCTAACAATATTAAAACATGGGACAATAACCATACACATTCATTTACCATCCTAAATTAAACTTACACTGTTAGGAATGATGCTATTACTGTCCTGTCTGTGAGGGTCCATCCTGACTCCTGCAAGGATAAGAAAGTTCAGACTGATATGATCTAAATTAGCTTCAATAAAATATATTACAATCAAGAATTTTCAAGAGTTACATGTTAAATGTTAAAAAGTAGTTATCTTTATCAAAGTTTATCTGCTTTCTTAATAATTGACTGAAACCCTTTCTTGAAGAACATGTAAAATTAAATTTGCTTTTATTTCCAAGTACCTGTTAGTTAAAAATATTTGGGGGAAGAGCCAAAATGTTTATGAACGCTAATGAAAATAATCTCCTGGAGTTAAGCAGCTTGTCAAATTAAGACAGTCTATCACAATGAACTGCAGAAGAAACAGGCTACCCTACATATCTGAGTTCTATTACACTGTAATTGTAAAACAGTCAAGTTATAAAGCTGAAACACAACATATTTGATTTACCAGTCAGGAAACATCATATAAGATTTCTTACACCAGGCCTATTTATAGACTTTTCTTTAGTATCTTTTAAAAAAGCATACATGTTATAAGTGACAATTTATGTTAAGTATGCAATTTACCTTGCATATTTGGTGCTGCTGAAGAATCTGACGATGCAGCTTGGTATGGCAAGTCAGTATTCAACTGCAAAAGATAGCCCTCAACTGTAGGCACTTCATCCCATTTGACATGAAAAGAGTTGGTAGTGGCTTTGATCAGTTGTACTTGTGATGGCGCTGGTGGTTTCTCTAAAGAACAATATTGATATTGACATTATACATTTCAAATGTATCAATAGTTTGCCTGTAAAGTTTGTGTAGACCTGGAGCTCTGAAAATGTCAGCAATGAATATTTCATCTGTTTACCAAGAGGAAAAATTTACTCAAATAAACACAGCTATGGAAGGTCAAATGAAAACAGTTTGAGGTTCTGTTTCTATTTTTATTTTATTTAATCCTTCATATAAATAAATCTAAAAATAATGTAGTTCCAACCTATTTGAATCATCAGATTCAGAAAAAAATGTTTAATCCTAGAAGTGAGGGGAAGTATTACATAGTAATAGCTAGATAATTTTACCTACTCTAAGTTTTTAATTTTATGAGTCAATTTTTAGGCAACAGTATACGTGTTAGAAATACTGTTAATGCTAGGTGATTTGGATATGATATTTTGGAAAAACATAACATCTTTGAAGTTAATATCCTTTTATCAAAACTTATACTATCCAAAACAGGTAATTACTGTGGTATAAAATATTACCAACATTTCCCAAACAAATAAATTACAGACTCTTAGAACTTGAAAAAAGAACCCGAGATTATTTCAAAGATATCCTTTTCCTCTTTTAGTTTACTTGCCAAACCACAGAACTCACAATTCCAGAGGTAGTATATCACCTCTTCGCAGTTATATAAGACAATTAATTCTTCTAGTGACCTGAAATCTACAAATGATAATTTAACCCCTACAGAGCACATCTAATATCTATTTGTATCTTTTAGAGTAGCAGTCAACAAACTATAGCTCATGTGAATGTTTTGTAAATGAACTTTTATTGAAGGTATACTCATTTTTTTTATGTACTGTCTATGACTGCTTTCATGGTATAACAACAGAGTTAAGTAGTTATAACAGAGACCATATGGCTTGCAAAGCCTAAAATATTTACTACCTGAGCCATTACAGAAAAAAAATTTGATGGGCCTAATTTAGAGAATAATTAAGTCTAGATCCTTTAACTATTCCCATGTATATTCCTCCATGATACTATTAACAATCCAATTTATGTTACTCAAAGTACAGCAACCCACACCTGAACAAAAGCATGGCTACAGGAGGTAAACCCTGCACATAACAGAAGTTACATGAAGAGAAAAGAGAGAAAACAATAGGGTGCAAACCAATGAAATAAATCAAGAAAATTCCCAGACCTGAAGACCATGAAATTCCAGAAAGAGTCTACTGTGTACTCAACACAATGAATTAAAAACATGCACACAATAGGCACATCATCATGAAAATTAAGAACAAGTTGGGGGTGAAGAAAAAAATCCTAAAAGTTATCGAGAGAGGGAAAAGGACACATTTAAAAGGACCAAAAATCAGAAGTAGTTCAGCTTTCTCAACAAAAACACTAGGAGCTTGAGTACAATATAACAATGTTTTCGAAATTCCTAAGGGTAAGGATTTCTAATGTAGAATTATATTTCCATGCAAAGTGTCTATTAACTCAGAAAGAAGACTAAACCTATTTTCAAATAATGCAAGTTCACAAAATAAAATTGTCACCTAAGCATCATTTTCCTGGAATGTGTTCCACAAAAAATGAGGCCATAAACTAAGGTAGGGAAAAATACAGGATCCAGGACACAGAGAATCTGGCACAAGTGAGAGGCAAATCATATCCCCAGGAAGATGCTGAAGGGAGACTCCAAGAAGATAGCTGTGCTCAATCTGTGGAGGGCAATCACCCATCGTCTTCAAGACGATGAAATTTGATAGAACATGTGATGCATCTCACCATAATGAGCTGAGAGAAAATTTAAGCAAATAACTGAGTATGGATTGACTTAATGGTAAAAAACAAATCTAAAACAAACAAAAGTGAGTTAATCCATGGCAAGTTAAAAACAGGACAAGGAAGGTATTCAGCATATTCTATATGGCCCACCTGTGAACAATGTTTACATAGTCATGATATAAACATTGAATATTCTTCTAACAAAATTTTAGTGTATTTATACTGAGAGAATAGAAAGTAGGGAATGGTGGGGAAAGATAAATCCTTAACTTCCACAGCAGAAGGGAGCATATTGTGCCTAAACTGAAAAAAATCCAACAGTATACTCATGTTACATGTAAATATGGAAGTAAATATCAAAGAAGAGTTAACAGAGTTAAAAATAGATGCTTGTGAAGCAAGGATAATGGGAGGAGAGTGGGAGCAAAAGACCACTATTCATAAAAACCCTTATGGAATATTACTCTTTTATTAGCAAGCGCACAAAGTTTAAAAGTGAAAAAAAGCAAGACAAAGGGCCCTCATACACCACCCACAAAACTGATGCTAACTTATCAAAAGGAAAAGCAAAATGGCCCTTATGATTAGTGGCCATAATTACTTTTAGATATATATTCATGTCTAAGCCTTTTATGGAAAGATTTATGAAAAAAAATGGCTATTTAAAGCCAATAACTTTTAGCCTTTTAAAAGTCTCAGATCCAGCCAAGACTGGTTTGGCTCAATGGATAGAGCGTCAGTGTGGGGACTGAAGGGACCCGGGTTCGATTCCGGTCAAGGACATGTACCTTGGTTGCGGGCATATCTCCAGTAGGGGGTGTGCAAGAGGCAGCTGATCGATGACTCTCTCATCGATGTTTCTAACTCTCTATCTCTCTCCCTTCCTCTCTGTACAAAATCAATAAAATATATTTAAAAAAAATAAAAATAAAAGTCTCAGATCCAGGTCCAGGTCCTGCCTGGGTAGTTCAGTTGGTTATAGTGTCATCTGATGAACTGAGGTTGTAACTTTGACACTCCGTCAAGGCGCATACAAGAATCAACCGGTGGTCTTAGCTGCTTTGGCTCAGTGGATAGTGTCAGCCTGTGAACTGAAGGATCCCGGGTTCAATTCCAGTCAAGAGCACATGCCTGGGTTGTGGGCTCGATCCCCATTTGGAAGCGTGCAGGAGGCAGCCAATCAATGATTCTCTGTCATCTTTGCTGTTTCTTTCTCTCTCTCCCTCTCCCTTCCTTTCAGAAATCAATAAAAAAATTTTTTTAAAAAAAAGAATCAACCAATAATGCATAAATAAGTGGAACATGTCAACGTCTATCTGTCTCTCTCTCGCCCTTCCTCTCTCTTCCATCAATAAGTAAATAAAAATAAGTAAAAGTCATAGATCCCTTAGAGACTCTGCTTATAGTGATATATCTGCTATTGAGAAAAATTTACATGCACACATTTTTCTTCCAATCTCAGAGACTGAAGCTTATCTTTAGACTTCACTTAATAATTCCCAATTTCAAATATGAATTAGTATGTTTTTCTTTTACTTGTTAGTATGTGCTTCTTTCACATTTTTCCCATTTATTATTTTTTCATTATTTTAATTTTAAAATTAAACTGTTTTTACATTACTGAAGTAATACATGTTATTATAGATAATACAGAGAGGAGAGAAAACCTTTTAAGAAATGTCTGATATATGCCGGCACCGGTTTGGCTCAGTGGATAGAGCGTCGGCTTGGGGACTGAAAGGTCCCGGGTTCAATTCCGGTCAAGGGTATGTACCTTGGTTGCGGGCACATCCCCAGTAGGGGGTGTGCAAGAGGCAGCTGGTCGATGATTCTCACTCATCGACGTTTCTAACTCTCTATCCCTCTCTCTTCCTCTCTGTGAAAAATCAATAAAATATATTAAAAAAAAAAAAAAAGAAATGTCTGATATAGCCCCGTAGGTAATATTGTGGTGCACAGTGAATCCTTCAAGACTTTTCCGTTTAAAAGATATGCTTTATCATCTGCTTTTCTTATATAACAACACATATTACATCTCCAGATCTGATTTTCCTACTGGCTCGACTTCTTTATTCACTAACCTGCCTACTTGATCTTGTTATTTCATGGTCTAGCAGAGTCTAAATCGAACTCAATTTTCCCTAAAGCTTGTTTCGCATCAGTCTTCCCCATCTCAGTAAATGGAAATGCCACCACATTTTTCATATAAAAAACTTCATCCTCCACTTCTGTCATCTACCACAGCCAAAGAATTGCAAAGAATTCCCATATATCCTTTCCTGTTTTCCCTTAATGCTAATACATTTGTTAAAACTAAGGAATGAACATTGGAGGCCCTGGCCGGGTAGTTCAGTTTGTTGGAGCATCTTCCTGATATGCCAAGGATGTGGGTTTGATCCCTGGTCATAGCACATATAAGACTCAACCAATTGATGCATAACTAACTGAAACAAATCAATGTTTCTATCTCCCCTTTCCTCTCTCTTTAAAAAATCAATTAAAAGAAATTAACATTGGCCCTAGCCGGTTTGGCTCAGGAGATAGAGCATCGGCCTGCAGACTCAAGGGTCCCAGGTTCAATTCCTGCAAGGGCATGTACCCTAGTTGCAGGCACATACCCAGTAGGGAGTGTGCAGGAGGCAGCTAATGGATATTTCTAACTCTCTATCCCTCTCCCTTCCTCTCTGTAAAAAAATCAATAAAATATATTTTTAAAAAAGAAATTAACATTGGAGTAACATGGAGTAATACTATTAACTAGACTACAGACAATTCATATTTCACCAGTTTTTCAATTAATGTCTTTTTTGTTTCAGGATCCAATGAAGAGCATCACCTTGCATTTAGTTTTCATGTCTCTTTAGTCTCCTCCAATTTGTGACTATTTCTCAGTCTTTCCTTTTGAAAATTTGAACAGTACTGTTCACACAGTCTGTAGAATATCTAGAATGTCCCTCACTTTGGGTTTGTCTGATATATTCTCATAGTTAGAATAATGGATTTTGGGGAATTGTATCAATAAGGTCAAGTTTCTTATCACATGATATGGGAGGCAGGGGCAAATGATATCAACATGACTTATCACTAGTGATATGAACCTTGATTACTCAAGTAAGGTGCTATTTGCCAGGTTTATCCACTGTAAAGCTTCTACTTTTCCCTTTCATACTCTATTCTTTGGAAAGAAGTCACTAAATGCAGTTTATCCTCAAGGAGAGGGAAATTAGGAAACTCTCCTGGAGTGGGAAGTAACTACATATATTATTTCTTCCATGAATTTTTTAAATCCTCCTCCAAGGATATGCTTATTGATTTTAGAGAGGAAAGGAGGAGAGGGTGTCAAGGAAGAGAGAGACAGAGACAGACAGAGAAACATTAATGTGAGAGAGAATATCCATTGGTTGCCTTCTATACTTGTCCCAACCAGAAATCAAACCTGCAACTTAAGTATGTGCCCTGATCTGGAATCAAACCCACAACCTTTAAGAATATGTGATGGTGCTCCAACCAACTGAGCCACTCTGGCCAGGGCTCTTCCGTGTGTGTGTGTGTGTGTGTGTGTGTGTGTGTGTGTGTGTGTATTTTTTTTTATTATTTTTTAATTGCTGATAGTACTGCAGATGTCTCCCATTTCTCCCTTTTTTGCCCCCTCCACCAATCTCCTATGTATTTTTAATTATGGGAAAGACAAGCAGTGGAATAATGTCTCAAAAGATGGACACGGAGGAGGATCCAAGATGGCTGCTCGGGTAGACATCTAGCCGCGGCAGCACACAACAATTTCAATGGAATACAACTAAAATGTAGAGTGGACATTGCCCAGAGCTACAGGTAGTCGACTGACTGAAATTTCTACAACAAGAAGGAAAGAGAAAACCAGAAAGAAAATCAGAGGAGCTGAAAAAAAGCCTAAGGTACGAAGACATGCTGCGCGCGCCTGCCCGCCCGCACGCGCGCACGGAGAGGTCGCAGCCGGAGAGGAGGAGAGGGCGGGGAGCCGCCTTTCCTTCCCTAGCAGGAAGGAAATAAAACCCCCAGCCTGGGCTGAACCCCCGAACCGGCAGCGCTGAGCCCCCCCCCCGCCCCCAACCGGCAGCGCTGAGCCCCAGTTATGGGCCAGACCCTGGGGACCCAGGCTCCGGCGGGAGGAGACAGGGCCATGAGGCAGAAAAACGGCGAAAGGCAGGGCCCCGGGAGTCGCGCACAATGCGCGCAGAGGACTGAATGTTGACTCTGATGCTGGGTTGCCCTAGCCGGAAGAAACAAGGCCTCAGGTGGCGGTGAGCCTCAGTCCGGACTGCTCCGAACCCCAGTTCTGGGCCAATCCCTGGGGACCCAGGCTCAGGCAGAGGGAGACGGGGCTGTGAGGTGGAGTCCGGGGAGAGCGGCGAAAGGCCGGGCCCCCGGGACTCGCGCAAACTGCGCGCAGAGGACAGTCTGTGGGACTCGCAGAGGACAGTCTGTGGGACTCGCGCAAACTGCGCGCAGAGGACAGTCTGTTGACTCTGATGCTGGACTTCCCTAGCGGGAAGGAGAAAAAAAAAGCTCTAGGCTGGGGGAACGCGGAGGGGAGCGGAAGCCCCTGCTGGACTCCAGCCAACCGGGCACCAGCAAGGAGGCGGCCACGGGGCCCCTGGGGGTGTGGGTGCCCCTGACCAGCAAGGAGGTGGGCCACGGGGCCCCTGGGGGCGTGGGTGCCCCTGAGCCTTTGACCACTGAGCTCGGGCAATGGAGCCAAGGCCAGGGGCTGCTTCCTGGGCGGCGCCGTCCCGGCAACAGGCTGAAGCAGCACAGGAGCCCGCGGAGAACAAAGGGGTGCCACAGGCCAACCTGCTGAGCTCCCAGGACAAGGAGGAAGAAACCAAAGAAGTTCTCAATGTGAAGAAATCAAGTGAGAGCAAAAAATAGTAAAATTACTTAAGAAAGAATACAAAGAAGATCTTGAAAATTCAAAGACTAAGTCAGAACTCAACTCACCAGCCAACATTGCAACATAAATGCGTTTTAAAAAGAAAAAAAAAAGGACAGAATGTTGGAACAGCGACGGCCAGGCCTAGAGTGGCCAGGCACAAGGCAGTGGCAGCCAGACCCGGAGCAGCAACGGCCAGGCCCCAGAACAACAGCAGCCAGAACCAGAGCATTAACAGCCAGCACTGGAGTAGCCAGACCTGGGGCAGTGGCAGCCAGGCAGGAGGCGGAGGCGGCCAAGCCCAGGGTGGCCAGTCCAGGAACACCCAGACCCGGAGTGGCCGGGCCTGAAGAAGCCGGGCCCAGAGCAGCCGGGGTGGGAGCAGCCAGACCCAGAACAGCAGTAGCCAAGCCCAGAGCATCCAGGTCGGGAGTGGCCAGGCTCGGAGCGGCCGGGCCCGGGGCAGCCGGGCCCAGAGCAGCCGGGTCAGGTGCGGCCAGGCCCGGAGCAGCGGCTGCCAGGCTGGGAGCGGCCAGGTCCGGGGGAGCAGTCGGGTCGGGTGCGGCCAGGCCCGGAGCAGCGGCTGCCAGGCTGGGAGCGGCCAGGCCCGGGGGAGCAGGCGGGTCGGGTGCGGCCAGGCCCGGAGCAGCGGCTGCCAGGCTGGGAGCGGCCAGGCCCGGGGGAGCAGGCGGGTCGGGTGCGGCCAGGCCCGGAGCAGCGGCTGCCAGGCTGGGAGCGGCCAGGCCCGGGGGAGCAGGCGGGTCGGGTGCGGCCAGGCCCGGAGCAGCGGCTGCCAGGCTGGGAGCGGCCAGGCCCGGGGGAGCAGGCGGGGCTTGTGCGGCCAGGCCCGGAGCAGCGGCTGCCAGGCTGGGAGCGGCCAGGCCCGGGGGAGCAGCAGCCAAGTCCAGAGCAACTAGGTCGGGAGCGGCAGTGACCAGACCTGGAGCAGCTGGTTGTGGAATGAACCAGAGCAACAGAGGCCAGGCCCTGAGCAGCCAGGCCCAGAACAGCTCGCTCCTTGCCTGCCCCTGCCCCACGGCTGCTTCTCAGACATGGCTGGAAACTTGCGTGGGAACTTGAGGGTCTGCTGAATCAAGTGATGAAGGCTTAGATCTGGATGTGTTGAGTTAGTTTAGGACTGGGGTGTTGATCTGTGAGTGCCTTGGGTGGGGCCTGGATGAGGCTGGTTGACCTAGTGGGAAATGTCTTTTGTGTGAAGTGTATCATTGGGCATGTGGAGGTATTATTGATATGAGAAAATGCTAAGTAACTGATTTACTATCTGAAAAGGAATTTACTATTGGGGAAATTGAGGGAAGAAGAGACTGAACATAAACTGTACTTATGGATGAGGACAATGGGGGATGGGGACGGAGGGTGGGGTGGGAACCTGGTGGAGGGGGGAAGGAATGAGGAACCTTTGTAATAATATGAACAATAAAGATTGATTTAAAAAAAAAAAAAAAAAAAAAAAAAGATGGACACTATTCCAATACTTATTTATCTAAAGGAAAATTTTTATCTGTTGAATAATCTTACCTACCAGTATCAAGATACCAAAGATCCTTGCAGCAAACTTGACTATTCAGTGCTTTTTTGTAGCCGTCTCTTCCACTCCAAAAATACAATCGAGTGCCAATTGCAACAGCACAGTGTCCAGCTCTTGGTCTTGGTCTTGAATTTTTTTTATCTTCCTGAGAATCTGATACTAGGGTGGTCCACTCTGCTGTATCTAAAAAGATAGAAATATTCATGACTAATCTGTTATTCTTAAACAAAACAAAAATTCTTTTGTTAATAAATTTGATTTCTATTAGCCACTCTTAAAAGACTCACCCAGATTTAGGTAAGAAAATGAACTTGTACATTTCCATTCACAATCATGAGGTGAAGCCTCAATATTTTCTCCTTTTTGGGGAACCCATCCTCCAAAAATGTACATCCTAAAAAACAGACAAAAAGAACATAAAGTAATTAAATTTTTTCCTAAAGCCTTAATTTTATTTTTTAAATTTAAAATCCTAATAATAGACTTAAATATCTTATTTGTTGATACCAAGCTACAAAATTAGTCACTCACTGTCAATGCCAAGGTAATGGAAAGAAGATAATAGTCTTCTTTCAAGAGTTTACAATTTTATGAATCAATAAAAAAAATAAAAATTATTTCTCTCTGGCAAGTTATTCAAAGTGGGAAATATTGCCAAAACCGGTTTAGCTCAGTGGATAGAGTGTTGGCCTGTGGACTGAAAGGTCCCAGGTTTGATTCCAGTCAAGGGCATGTACCTTGGTTTCGGGCACATCTTCAGTAGGGGGTGTGCAAGAGGCAGCTGACTGATGATTCTTATCGATGTTTCTAACTCTCTATCCCTCTCTCTTTCTCTCTGTAAAAAATCAGTAAAATATTTTTTAAAAAGTGGGGAATATTTCAATTATTATACATTTGAAAGTCAATATTGATGTACGTACTATACTCTTAAGGGTATCTCAGTCAGAAAGATACTCAAATGATTCATGACATTCAAAGTCAAATTTAAAATTGTATGTATATAATAACCAAAGAGGATTAAGTTTCTTTTTAGTCTGGCCACTGATATCAGTCAAATAAAAAACTTTAAACTATGTTCTTAGGGCCTCCCAGTTCTTGAGACACGCCTAATGGCTAATGAAGGAGAAAGGCTCATCCAGTAGAGCTTGGGTCCCAGGTGACCTCAAGCTAACCGGAGAGCTATATTTTTAATCTCTTATATATTAGAGTTCCAATGAAAAGCTGCATTTTATAAAAGGATTCTGTTTTTTAAAACGGCTATTTTTTGAAAAGAGTCCTAGCCGGGTAGCTCAGTTGGTTAGAGCGCTGTCTGGATGCACCAGGATTGCAAGTTTGATCCCTGGTCAGGGCACATACAAGAGTCAAACAATCTTACCTAATAATAGACATCATGTAAGTTGACTGTACCACCACTACGCCACCAGCCAATCAGGAGTGATATATTATTAAATTCAGTAATATATTTCTAAGAAACTAGTAGCATCACTCCTTTGTATCTTTCTCTTTTTTAAAAATAAATCTTTATTGTTGAAAGTATTACATATGTTCCCCTTTGTCCCCCATTGCCCTCCCTGCCTTCCCTCTGAGGTTTGATAGTCTACTCCATGTTTCTGTTAAGTCAGTTTAAAAACAGTGAAAACAAAAAAGCACCATACTTGTTTCCTATAACATTGGCTGTGTGAAGGCTTCGCGGAAGGGGCACTGTCCCTTTAGTTTCTGGTTTTGACCATGACATAGTTTCTAAAAGTAAAAATAATTATATTAGCAACTTGATCTAATAACAGCAAACTATCGCAACTTGCAGAATTTTAAAAATTAAAACCAAAAAGGTCTTATTAAAATAAAGCAAAAATGTTTCAAACCTGTTACTTGAATTTCATCTTAAACTGACATAAATTGCTAGTCAAAGAAATCTACTTACACCTTAATGTTAGTACTTGTAACAGAGAGATGTATTTAGAATGCCATCAATTCTAAGTTGGGACCACATTAGGGATTTTAACATTTTTAAGTAAGAGTACACTGTGTAGAGACAGTCAAAAGTAAGAGGCATATCTACTCCCCAATTATTTATTCCTAGGATCTCTTAAAAAAGGACTACTCAAGCCATGGCTGATGTGGCTCAGTTGGTTGGAGCATCATCCCAAGCACTGAAAGGTTTCAATTTGAATTCCTATTGGGGAGCATGCAAGAAGACAACCAATTGATGTTTCTCTCATATCTCTCTCTCTCTCTCTCTCTCTCTCTCTCTCTTTCTCTCTCTCTCTCTCACACACACACACACACACACACACACACACACACACACACACACATCAGTAAAGAGCATATCCTTGGATGAGAATTTTTTTAAAAAGAGCTACCCAAGGGTTTTTCGCTGACCAGCAGTAACATCACTAATGCTACATTTCCTATAGGTAAGAGTAATGAAATAAATTTGATCATCCACAACTGGGACACTTCACAGAGTGCAAGTGGATACTATGGATAATTACATGGGACAATAAGCATGAACTAGGACCATTAAAGCAAACCAAGACTTATGGTGGAGATTCTACTGACAGGAAATACAGGAGAGCTGCTGTCATAAATCAAACACTCATTTGTTTGGTCTAATTCAGTGGTGGGCAAACTCATTAGTCAACAGAGCCAAATATCAACAGTACAATGATTGAAATTTCTTTGGAGAGCCCCATTTTTTTTTTTTTTTAAACTTAAACTTCTTCTAATGCCACTTCTTCAAAATAGACTAGCCCAGGCCGTGGTATTTTGTGGAAGAGCCACACTCAAGGGGCCGAAAAGCCGCATGTGGCTCGTGAGCCGCAGTTTGCTGGCCCCAGGTCTAATTGATCAGCAGCAACCATTGACATCACACCCCCCTGCTGCCCCTGGTGATGTCTACCGTGCTCGTTATAAATAAATCTAAGTCCAACTCAATCAATACTATAATAAAAAATATTTTCAAAGCAATTTTTATATTTGCTTTTATCAATCAGAACCAGTTCTTGAGCCTGAATCAAGTTAAGCTTACCTAAGTCAAGTTGCCATAGGTCATCCAGGCGAGCACCACACATTCCACCAAAAACATACATTTTAGGACTCCCAGAATCCTTTTTGCAATATATAACAGCTGTGTGAGATTCTCTTGGAGAAGGCACAGTCCCTTTAGTCACTGGAATGCTCCAACCCACAACACCAGAACCATGCTGTAGCTCCAATTCATAGAAATCATTTAAATATCTAGGATATCATTAAATAAATGAAAACATTAGCATAATGTACACCTTTTATTTTTTTTCTACCTACAAAGATAATTAATGCTTACTATGAAAGTTCATAGGCATTATGGGAGCAGAAACCCCATCCCTAATCATTCAACACATATTTACCAGACACTACTGTGTACCAGGCACCCTTCTGGGGATGAGTATAACAGAAGAGATCTAAAAAATTCTGCCATCATTTAGCCAACACTCTTGTCCATGACAATAACCATTATGGTTTCAAAACATAGCCATAAACTATGTGACACTCTTCCCACCAGGAGGTAGGGTCTATATCCTCTCCCTTGATTCTAGGCAGGCTTGTGACTGCTTTACCTAGTAGCGTATGATTAAATGACATTATGTGACTTCTAAGGCTGAGTCACAGAAGGCCAAGGCAGCTTCACTATGAAATCCTGAACCACAATCTAAGTCCAACTGTCACACAACCACCATCTAAAGGAGCCATATGTAGGCACAAAGGAGGACAGTCCCAGTTGAGTTCACCCTTCAGCCATCTCAGCTGAGGCTCATACATGCAAGTGACCATTCATGCATTCCCATCTAAGGGCCTAATCATTATTGCTATGTTCTGTCTGAATTCCTAATGCACAGAATTCATGAGCGTAATAAAATGGTTGTTATTTTGCATCACTTACTTTTGGAGCAATTTATTACATGGTATGAGATTTTTTAAAAAATTACTACTCGTAATAATTGCTAAGACTTCTCTCTGTCTGAATATCCACTTACATATAAATGAGGCATTTTACAAATGTTTTGCAGGTTCTCCTTCTTTTAAAATTTTTACTCTTTAATGTCATATACAACTACTTCCTATACAACTTCTTTACTTTTGGAACTGGCATAAGCTTCTTATCTGTGACATGAATGCTTTCAACAAAATAATGTTTATAGAAACCTATTTCCTGTTAAATTACTACTCAAATATGAAGGCAAAATTAAAACATTTGAGGGTTTATAAAATTTCAAAGTTTAGCCATATAATTGTTTTAGGAAAAAATGATTCTAGATATCAATCAGGAAAAATAAAAAGGAATCCAAGAAAAAATACACTGAATAAGAAAAATTAAAGTGCAAAGAAAATAGCAATTTATAATTACATTTAAATTGATGTTGATAACTGTGGTTGTGAAGTCTAAATAATCACTAAGAAAAATTGACCAAAAAGTTAATTTATTAATATTACTTTAACCTAAAATAAGATTTAAGAATATATGGAACATATGGGAAAAGAAGGTAAGCATTAAAGAAAAAAAAAAAAAAAAAGGTTTACAGGTATAACTAGTAACCTATACCCAAACAATTTTTAAGAAAACTATCTTATTAAAGATAAATATTCTAAACCTACAGCAAACATCAAAATTAATGATAAAAAGGTAAATATATTAATGAAACAGAATAGAATCTAGTACAAGAGTTGACAAACTTTTTCAGTGAAGGACCAAAAATTAAACATTTTAGGCTCTTAGGGTCATAAAGTCTGTCACAACTACTCAGCTCTGCTTCCCTAATGGGGACCCACCAGCGCCAGCATCCAAAGCCAAACTGTCTTGATTACTGTAGTTTTGTAGTAAGTTTTGAAATTAGAAGATGTAAATTCTTCAATCTTAGTCTTTCTCAAGAGTGTTTTGGCTATTTTGGGTGTTTTACATTTCTATGTAAATTTTAGGATCAGTGTCTTTATTTTATAGCCAATGCCACGAGGCAAAATAAGGGAGTAGTCAAGATGTTTACAATATTCTTGTGAGTTTCGATCCTTTTCAATTACATGCACCTGATCAAGCTTTGTTTACTTGCAGCTTATATCACTTAGGCATGTGGGGCCACATGTTCAGACCATAGGTTCATGCTTATAACTATAGCTGTTGGCTGTAATTGTGTTGGGAGGGCTCTGCTCTCCAGGCTGGGACTTGCACGTGGCCACAAGAGGACTGTGCCCTCTCATCAGTCCAAGGCTTGAACCTGTCCAAAACACTGTAGCCGTGCCCCACAAAATTTAACAAAATAAGAACAAGACTTGTACATTGAAAGCCTCAAAATACTGCTGAGATAGAAGAAAGAAGGTCTAAATAAATGTAGAGACATTCCATGTTCATGGATTGCAAAACTCAATATTAATAACATAGCAATTCTCCACAATTCTATCTATATATACAACACAAACACTATCAAAATCCCAACAGAACTTTGTGCAGAAATTGGCAAACGATCCTAAAATTTACATAGAAATGTAAAGCACCCAAAACAGCCAAAACACTCTTGAGAAAGAATAAGATTTAAGAATTTACATCTTCTTATTTTAAAACTTACTACAAAACTACAGTAATCAAGACAGTGTGGTACAAGCATAAGGCTAGACATATAGATCAATGGAACAGAATTGAGAGTCCAAAAATAAACACACTTTGTGTCAATTGAGTTTCAACCAAGATGCCAAGGCAATACAATGGGAAAAGGATAGTCTTTTCAACAAGTGTTGTTGGGACAACTGGCTATCCACATGTAAAAAAGTGAATTTAGACATTTACTTTCCCCCAGGAAAAAAATTAACCCAAAATGAATCATACATATACATGTAACAGCTAATACTAAGAAAATAGAGGAATAAATCTTGAAAAGCATGAGACAGGCAGAGTTCTTAAATATGACATCAAAAGCCCGATCCATAAAATAAAAAATTAATATGTTTGGCTTATCAAATTTTAAAACTTTGTGCTTCAAAAGATACCATTAAGAAAATTAAAGATAAGATAGACTGGAAGAGCATATTTGTAAATCACATTTCTGATTAAAAACAAACTTGTATCCAGGAATATAAGTAATTCTTACAATCTATAATAATAAAAGCATAATATGCTAATTAGACTGGATGTCCTTCCAGACAACCTTCCGGACAAGGGAAGCCCAGGTCCTGGGTGTTTGCCGGCGGCTGGAGGAAAGCCTGGGTCCCGGGTGCCAGCAGCCAGGGGAAGGACTACCCTTGCACAGATTTTGTGCTTTGGCCTCTAGTTCAATAATAACACAAACAACTTCATTTAAAAAATCAATGAAGATTTGAATAGAAATTTCACCAAATGGCTGCAAAGCTCATGAAAAGATGCTCAATATCATTGGTCATTAGGAAAATGAACCACAGTGAGATACCATTACATTGGTGACAATAAAAAAGACAGAGAAAAATAAGTGTTAGCAAGGAAATGGAGAAATGAGAACCTTCATAAATTGTTGGTGGGAATGTAAAATGGAATAGTCACTTTGGAAACAGTTTGGAAGTTCTTAAGAACTTAAATGTAAATTTACCATATGACCCAGTAATTTTGCTAGGTTTCTAATCTAGAAAAATAAATACATGTCAAGACAAAGCTTTGTATGTAAATGTCTATAGCAGCACTATTCATAAAAGCCAAAAAACTGGAAATAATCCAAATGTCCATAACTGATAAATGAATAAACAAATGTGGTATATCCATGAAATCCATACAAAATAGGAATTGCAAATGTCCAAAATACAATTAATGAAACTCATTTCCAATTTTAAAAATATCAAAATAAAACCACCTATCTTACCTAAAAGAGAAACATGCAAATTAACCATCACTCCACTACACCTATAGCCAATCAGAGTGAAGCCTGCTATGAGAAGGGAGTGGCGGAGGGAGCTACTGGAGTGGTGCTCCAGACAGAAGCGAGGACTTGCCGGCTCCGGGTGGCCAGGGAGCGGGGACTTGCCAACTCCCAGGCGGCTGGGAGTGAAGTCAGGGGAAGGAAGGCCTATTCTTACACGAATATTATATAATGGGCCACTAATATATATATAAAAGCCTAAGGGACCAATGGACCAGCTGATTGTACGACCGGCCGGTACCTATGATACACAGTGACCACCAAGGGCCAGATGCTCAATGCAGGAGTGAAAACCATAGGCATAGAAACATGGCACAGACTGATGAATCTCAGAGGGAAGGGAGGAGGAAGGAGGGTGGGAAGAGATTAACCAAAGATCTTATATGCATACTAGAGGCCCAGTGCACGGATCTGTATACTAGTGGGGTCCCTTCTCCTGTCCTGTGGGGATCGGGCTGAAACCGGCTCTCCAATATCCCCCAAGGGGTCCAGGATTGTGAGAGGGCACAGGGCAGGCCAAGAGACTCCACCGGTGCACAAATCCGTGCACCAGGCCACTAGTGTAATATATTCACCTGTTTGCTAGACAACAATTAAGAAGAGTGACACAATTCAGTATTGCCAAGGGTGTAGGCATTCTTGTACATTGTTATTAGTAATATAAATTGTTTTTCTCTTTGGAGACTGATTCAGGAGTACCTAAAAATTTTAATGTAAATACCCCTTGATATCCCCTCAAATCTCATTTGTAAGTATCAATCTTATAAAAATAATAGCAAAAATGTCCATCACCAGGGGAATGGTTCAGTATTTTGCATAATTCACACTACTTTCAGCCTTTATAAAACAAGGTCAATATATACCTGCTGCCATGAAAAGAGCTCCAAGCTATCTCCTTAAAAGAATTAAACAACAAAAACAAACAAGTGCACACCCAAAGTCACAGAGCAAAAAGAAAGATCCCACTTCTATAAAAGAAAATACATGTCTTTGTAGGATCAAATTAATGTACCCAACTCTCCTCTCCCAATAAGCAGAACATATATCCTTGGAATCATTACTGAAGGCTTGGCCTTTCGCTTGCTTAGACCAATAGAATGTATTAGCTTTGATCAGAGGGTTTAGAAAGCATTGCATGTATCTATTTGCACCCTCAAGTAGCATAAACTTGAGAACTTGCCAGCTATGTACAATAACTTAAGAAAAGCTGACAATATAAGGTATTACATGAAAAAGGTCCCAAAAGATATCGATACATATCAAATTGAATTATGTGTTTGCCTATGTGGGGGACATTGATGCTGTGAGAAAGAACTTTCTAACTTTTATGAGTCTCTATCTAAAAAAAATGTTTAATAGAAAAAATGAAAAAAAGACATGCTAAAAGTATCTGCACTAGTGTTGTAGAATAAATTATTTTTCCTTTTCTCCAGTTTCCAAATTTTCCGTATTTTAGTAAATGTTATTTCTTAAAGCTTGAAAATAAAAACTAAGACTCTAACATTAATTTAATGTAGTAAAAAGACCCTTTATCATGGTCATAATAACTACTGTACTATGTGCTGGTGGCAACCTCAAAGTGCTTTGAAAATTATGCCAATGATCTTATTTAACCATCACAATGACACTAAAAGGTAGGTATTTAATCACTCCGATTTCAATGAAGGAAAGCAGGCTTAGATTACTTCTACTAAAGGACATACATAGTGAGCAGTGAAACAGAAACAGCCTTTTAGACTCTAAATCTCTAAATCCTGACTGCTATAATGACAGTGTGATCAAAACACTATGTGAAAACAAAAGAGGCAGTGATTCTGTTTTGGGGAAAAAAAAGGATTGATTCCAAAAGTATTTGCTTGTGTGAACCACTCTAATAGCTTTCTGTGTGAAAAATGGAAATGATGGCCTTCATTTTGTAGTCAAATATTTGTCACCAAATTCCTAGAGAAAGCAATGTGAAAATAACCATTTGTTACCTTTCATGATCATTTATGTCAACCAAAACATATCAGCAGGTTCAAAAGGTACAAATATACTGCTATAAGCAGCTATATTAATATCAACTTAGTATTTCTGATGAGAAAAGGCATAGTTTTAAAAACATTTACTCCAGGGACTAAGGAAAATATAAATGCACACAGATTTGTTCTCTGTTAAGTTATGCAAAAAAGGCTAAGCTTCATCTACTCTAATAATGACAGAGGGAAGAAATAAATGTTCTTAATCTAAATCATAAGCTAAGCATTTGGCCTGAGACAGGGTCAGCATACCTGGGAACATTATTATTTGAATCTTCACTTTCATTTGCCAGGCCACCAAACAAATAGCATTTGTTACCATACAAAGAAAAGCTATGTCCAAGCCGAGGACAAGGAGGTAAACCAGAAGAAGGGGCATGGGGTTTCACTTTTTTCCATAACCAACGACTTGCCTAAAAAAAAAAAAGAGCATAAATACACTCAGACAAAATCAGGAAAATATTCCTATGTTGCTAATAATATAACATCATACTAATGCATTTAAAGCTGAATCCAACCAGAAGACTCCAAAAAGGTACTTTTGGGACAAATGACAATTAAGTAGATAACTTCTGGAATTAAAATAAATGTTTCAATAGAAATTCTGTCTAGTCTTCCATATTCACAGATTTATTTTAAATATATTTTTGTCAATTTCAGAGAGGAAGGGAGAGGGGGAGAGAGAAACATTAATGAGCAGAGAATCATCGATCTTCTGTCGCCTGCACGCTCCCTATTGGGGATGGAGTACAGGAGCTGGGCATGTGCCTTTGACTAGAATAGAACCCGAGACCTTTCAGTCCGCAGGCTTATGCTCTATCCACTGAGTCAAACCAGCTAGAGCCATATTCACAACTTTATGCAATAGCAAATAATGCTTATAAAAATAAACACTAACAGTCCTAAACTATTTTCCAAATGAAACATTAAATATTATATATAGCTTTAATATTAAATGTAATTTATGTAGTCTTACTTTCTGAAATTAGGTACTCCATTAATGGTATATATTTTATCCTTTAAATAAGCACAAAGACCATTTAACAAACCAAACTCAAAAACTTATTCTCTAGCTAAACATGCTTTCTTGATCTAAAAGTATTTTTAAAATTACTTGCTTACCAATAGATATAACCCACCTACATCTGCCAGTTACCAGATGCTCTCATGTTATATTTTTAGGCTTTTGTATTTTAATGCAGTTCTCCCAACTTCAGCCCGAAACACAAGCACCTGGAGGGCTTGTGAAAACATAGGTCATGGCCCTGAGAATATATGCCCAGTTCATAATAAAAGTCAATTAGGGCTGTCACAGTGGACTCTGGTTTAGTAGTGTCAAATTGAGAAAGGATATGTAAAACTGCTGTCCCTCTTTTGTATGTCTAGCCAGAAAAAAAAAAAAAAAAAAAGATTAGTGTGAGGGTAACAATTTCTACAACTAAGGCAGAGGTTTTCAAAGTACTATCTGGGGACCAGCAGCAGCAGAAGGTGGGAATGTGGTAGGAGTGCACATAGTAAGGTCCCATTACAGACAATATTCATCAGAATCTCGGGAGGCAGGGTGCAGCCACCTATGTTTTCACAAGCCCTCTAAGCGCTTCTGCTGCAGGCTGAGGTTGAAGAACTGTGCTAAAATACAAAACCACAAACGTGTAATATGTACAATGGTGCTAAGTAACAGATATCTTAATGATAGAAACGTTCCACTGGGTATTGGAAAAATATTACATTAAAAACTAGTTTTTCGGTGAAGTGGAAATAATTTCTTTTGAACTATAAAAGGTGAAGCTCACACTATTTTAAGTTAATGAAATATTTTGAAGAATTATGAGCAATATCATTGAAATAAAAAATCTGAAATACACTTACTTGTAACTCATACAGCTCATTGCTGTATCTTCCATATTCAACCATTCCCCCAAATACTAATATTCTGGTACCATCACAGACAAATCCATGGGCAGCACAGCCTGGAGGGATGTCTCCTCTAACAGCTGGTAAGAACCACTGGTTTGTAACTAGTTGCCAAAACAAAATTAAAAGCAATTATTTTATTTATCTATTAATAGGAGAGAGAGAGGAGAGAGAGATATGGAGGGGGAGAGAGAGAGAAAGATATGGAGGGAGGGAGATGGAGGGAGGGAAAAATGGCTTGGTGTGGGGGAGAAATAGGTTGGTGGGGGGAATAAAGATTGATTTGTTGTTCCACTTATTCAGATATTCATTGGTTGCTTCTTGTGTGTGCCCTGACCAGATATCAAACCTGCAACCTTGGCTTATAGGGACAACGCTCTAACCAACTGAGCTACCTGGCCAGGGCCTAAATGTAATTTTTCACCAACTATGAGTATGTACTCTATATATATCATCTATAATACATCGGTGGTCCTTAATTGGGAGTGATTTTGCCCCTCACCCAGGGGCAAACTAAACTTTTTTAGTTGTCATAACTGGAGGGGAAAGGTGCTACTGGCTAAAAGTGGGCAGAGGCTATGGATACTGCCAAACTTACAATTAAGTACAGTGCAGTCCCCGTCCACAAAGAATTCTCTCATTCAAATGTCAAGAATGCTGCTGTTGAAAATCCCTAATCTACATCTTGTAGCTCTTACAAAAACCCAGCTCGGATATCATCATCTCCACTTTACAAGTGAAAAATCTGACAGCCCCGATTCTAGGAAACTGGCCGAACAAAACTCAAACTTATTTCAAAGCCAAAGTTTTACATCCAGTTGTCACAAAACGTTTTTTAAAAATGTTTTTATTGACTTTGGAGGGAGAGGAAGGTAGAGAGAGACAGAGAGTAACACCCCTGTGAGAGAAACATCAACCGGCTGCCTCCCACAGGCGCCCCCACCAGGATCCAACCCGTAACCTCCCGTGTGTGTGTGTGTGTGTGTGTGTGTGTGTGTGTGTGTGTGTGTGTGTGTCCCCGCCCTACCTAACCCAGAATCGAACCCACCACCTTTCAGAGCACAGGACCAAGCTCCAACCAGCCGAGCCACCCCGGCCAGGGCTCAGATAACGCTTTTAACTTCCTATGTCGGGGCGCCAGGAAAAGGAGAGGGTGAAAAAATAAAAATAAAAATAAATGCCCCCTTATTCCGCTACTGTATTAACCTTTACATGCCCACAGGATGAAGCGGCTGGGCCAACGAGAAGTGACTACGGCCCCGACCCCAAAGTCAGGAATTATTAGCCTTTACACCAAGGAAACAGGGAGTACCTCCCGGGAGCGGGCGCAGTACACGTGGGGAGGAATGAAATCCCGGCTTCCTTTCTAATCCACGGAGGTGCTCCGGGCAGGGCCTCGGGGCGAGGGCGGCCGGCGGTGTGCGGAGGCGCTCACACCCCGCTGTGCGCTGCTCTCACCCCCAACCACTTCCCCGGCCGTCCGGGGGGTTACCGGTCGGGGTAAAATCTAAACTGCCACCTGCCAGAGACCCGGCTGCATCGGGGGGGTGGGGGGTGGGGGGTGAAAGCACCAGAAGCCTCTGGGTTCCCATCCGCACCCCAGCCCCGGGGCTCCCTTCCTCCGGAGAGAGGAAAGAAGGCGAGGGGAGCGGGAAGGTCCGGAGGCGCTTGGGTTTGGGTTTTTTTGTGTGTTTTTTTTTTTAACAGAAGAGGGGCCCGGAGGGAGCGAGACTTGGGAAGGAGGTGCAGACGGTTAGCAACAGCCGCCCTCGCGCGCCTACGTCCGCCAGCCATGGGCGGGGGGAGGGGAGGGGGACCCGGTCGGGACCGCTCGCCGCCGGAGGGCGGGCGCGTCCCGCCGGGGGTGCCGGTTCCGCCCCGGGGGCACCGGGGAGACGAAGCCGCTACCCGGACACGACGGGACCGGGGCCGCCCGGCCGCGCCGCGCCCCTCGCGCCCGCGGGAGGAGGCGCTAACCGGGCGGTGACAGCTGTCAGGCCCCGGCGGCCGCCGCCTCGCCTCCCCTCCCCCTCCGCGGCTCCCACAGGCGGGGCCGGACACCGCCGCCGCCGCCGCCGCCGCGCCTACCCGTGTTGTAGACGTGCAGCTCGTCCGCGATGCCCTCGTTGCCTCCGCCGAAGATGATCATCAGCTCCCGGATGGCCACGGCCCGGTGTCCGTGCCGGGCGCGGGGGACCGGCCCCGTGAAGGAAGAAACCCGCCTCCAGTTGAGGAGGCTGGGAGCCGCCATCTTCCCAACCCCCGCCCCTCTACCCACAATGCCGCGCGCCGCCCGGGCCGTCTGGGCTCCCGGGGGAGGGCGGGGCCCGCCTCCAGCTGTGCGCGGGGGCGGGGCGGGGCGGTCACGTGGCCGCGGCCGCCCCGGGGCGAGGCCGGAGGCCGGCGGGCCGCGGCGGGGGGAGGGTCCGAGCCGAGGAGCCCGCCCCCACCCCCGGGCTAACGTGGCCGGGCCCGGGGCACCGGGGCAACAGGTTTTGGGTGGGAGGACATTTCCTACCGACCGAGTCTCCTCTCCCCATCCCTCCCAGAGCCCCGCGTTTTGTCGGTGCGAGAGGAGGCGCAGCGGTTGCCTTTGGAGCATCTGGGATGTGCGGGCGGTCAGACCCGTTAGTTAGGCAGTCGCAGCGCCGGGGGAGGAAAGCCCGCGGGGAGATGCGAGGCGTCGGGACGCGGGGAAAGTCTGTCTTTGCGGTGGCGGGTCGTGCCGCCCGGGCCGGGAGGATGGGCCCCCAGCGCGGGAGCGAGGAAAGGAAGTCTGGACCACGGCCCGGCGGCCCGGGCGCTGCGGGCTGAGACCCAGCGCGTCCTCGAGAGGACGCGGGAGCTGAGCCTGCAAAGGCAACGCGGGACGCTCAGGCTCGGGGGTAACATTCCACGAAGTTTAGGAACGGGGAGCCCCGAAAGGTTCGTTTTGTGTGTTTTTTTGTTTGTTTGTTTTTTGTTTTTTGTTCTGTGTAAGCAGGTGAGATGTTATAGGGAAAAGTTCTGTTTTATTATAATAGTTGAGTGTCTTCCGTTGCCAAGCACTGTCCTGATTACCTCGCCTGTCTTCTCTCATTTGATCCTCACAGCAAGCCAGGGAGTGGGTCCTGTGTCCTCCTTTCCGTGGGTGGGGAAGTGAGGTACAGAGAAGTAAAGTCATTGTTCCCCCTCTTATCCCCCCCCCCCCCCAGGCACGGAGCCGAACAGGATTGGGAGCAGGAGTCATGCGCGGGGTTCTGATTTCAGAGCCCCTACCCTGAGTCACAATGTAAGGCTTCTAAGTCAGGCTCAGCTGCCTGGTGACCTAGCCTATGCAGAATCACAATCAAAGAGACACAAGTCAAGCTGGGGGGGAAGGGGGAAGCAATAAAACCCCTATCTCACACTCTCAAAAAGTAGGAATACACACAACATATATGAAATTTCCTAACATTCCTTCTTCCTCCTCTTTTGTCATTTTCCATTTCTCTCCTATGCCTAGTTCAGTCCCCTTCCCCAACTCCCTCTCCACCTTCTCATCCATCTAAACTTTCTTCTGAGGGTGATCGATCCTCCATCTTTTTTAAAGGAATTCTCACTGTTCTTTTCAGCTCCTGCTCCTCAAATTCTCCTTCTCACTATTACCCCAATTTCAAATATGGTCAAAGAAAATTTGGGCAGGGAGGCAAAAGATAGCTGGAAACTAAAGGGGATGTGAATATTTACGGTATGGAATAAGATTTTCTTTGTCACATAGGCTCTTAAATGTTTCTGTTATAAAGTTTATGTGTTTCTAAAACAAAACTGGAGAAGGGATAAAGCAATATGGTTTTCATAAGACTTAAGATATTTGATTAAGAACTGTACTTTAGCCCAGCTGATGTGGCTCAGTGGTTGGATGTCAACCTATGAATCAGAAGGTCACGGTTCGATTCCCAGTGAGGACACATGTCTGAATTGCAGGTTTGATTCCCAGTGGTCGACATGCAGGAGGCAGCTGATCAATAATTCTCTCTCATCACTGATGCTTCTATCTCTTTCTCCCTCTCCCTCTCTAAAATCAATAAAAATGTTTTTTTTTTTTAAAAAAAGAACTACTTTATTCTGAGAGTTCATTGTTAAAATGGCCAACTTTTATGAATGATTATGTAAGTAGATAGAAGATATTTTTTTTAATATTCTTTAAGAAAAAGATGAAGAGTAAAATTAAAAAGTTGCAAACTGCCCCATTGGGTTTGGTTCAGTGGAAGGGTCCCAGTTTTGATTCCAGTCCAGGGCACACACCTCAGTTGCAGGCTCCTCCCTGGCCCTGCAGGAGGCAACCAATCAAAGTGTTCCTCTCACATTGATATTTTTCTCTGTCCCTCTCTCTTCCACTCTCTCTAAAATTAATGGAAAAATATCCTCAGGTGAGTATTAAAAAACCCCACAGAAATGGGATGTCTCACAGTTTTGGAGGTTATACATCCAAAATCAAGGTGACAGCAGGGCCAAAACCGGTTTGGCTCAGTGGATAGAGCGCCTGTGGACTGAAAGGTCCCAGGTTCAATTCTGGTCAAGGGCACATACCTTGGTTGCGGACACATCCCCAGTAGGGGGTGTGCAAGAGGCAGCTGATGGAAGATTGATTCTCTCTCATCGATGTTTCTAACTATCCCTCTTTCTTCCTCTCTGTAAAAAAGTCACTAATATATATATATATATATATATATATATATATATATATATATATATATATATATATATATATGGAGGCACACTTTGGCCTGTGGCTGCATGACTCCAATCTCTGCCTCCACCATCACAGGGTATTGTCCGTGTCTGTCTTTGTCTCTTCTTATAAATTCACCAGTCATATTGGATTAAGACCCATACTAGTGACCTCATCTTAGCTTGATGAGGTCACATCTACAAAGACCCTGTGTCCAAATAAAGGTCACATTCACTGGTATTGGGCGTTAAGGGTTTAACACAAACTTTGGGTGTACACAATTCAATTCATGACTAAGTGCTTAATCCAATGGAAAAAATACTTTTACCAGATCAGCTTTGACTCATCTCTGCTTAAATAACGAGTCTAGACTAGGGCTCCAGTTCCCAAGGAAGCTGCCTTCAATCTTAGAAACTACAGGATTGGAAGCTACCACCTAGGAGGAGAGTGTAGAAAGAGAAGAGAAGAGTGAGGCAGAAAATCACCCTGAATAAGCCAACATTTAGGAGGCACAGACATGAAGGAAATAGAGAATGAGGAGCCAGAGAGGTCAAAAAGGAACTGAATGAGGGTGATATCGAAGAAGCCACCCATGAAGGGGATTTCACAGAGGCGGAAGTGGTTATCAAAGCCAACAGGCATAGAGAGGTCAGAGAGGAAGAAGATAAAAAAAAGTGTCTATTTGATTTGAAAATTAGGCTATTAGTGGCCTAGATTAAAATGCTCAGTGGAGTGGGAGGGAGGAAGGCAGAGTAGATCGAAGAACGGATAACGAGTGAAAAAGTACAAATATCATGTGTAGTCCACTTTTTACAGACTTGTCCATGAAAGGAAAGAAAGAACAGTGTCTGGAGGGGAGACATGGGTACAGGGAAAGCTGTTCTTAACATCTTGTCAGTCTTTCTTTTTTCAACTGGATCCTTCTATAGGGCCACAATCGAGACTCATTCTGGGCTGCTAAAACAAAACACTACAGACGCAGTGGCTTATAAATAACATAAATTTATATCTCATAGTTATGGAGACTGGAAGTCCAAGATCAGGCTGCCAGCATGGTCAGGATCTACATGTTGCAGACTGCTGACTTCTCCCTGTGTTTTTACATGGTGGAAGGGGCCAGGGAAGTCTCTAGGGTCTCTATTAAAAGGGCACTAATCTCACCCATGAGGGCCACATCCTCATGACCTAAAGCACCAAAATACCAAAGGCCCCACCTTAGGGGTGAGATTCTCAACAAATGAATTTGTGGAGGGACATAAACATCCAGAACACAGCAAGAAAATGTCATTTGGAAATGCTTTCTGCCACACGTAGCAGAATATTCAACACATAGCAACTAAATGATAATGCTCGTAATTATCTTGCACAAGAAATCTGGAGTTGATGGCTAGTTAGTTCAGCACTTCAGTGGTGTCATGGTTCTGGGTAGCTGCTTTGGATCTTTACTTTGTGGTCATAAGAAAGCTTTTGCAGCCCTGGGCATTGTTATCCTTACATAACCATGCCCAAAGGCATGAAGCAGGAGGATAGCCAGGATGGGGAAGTAGGACAATCCATTTGCATGGACCAAAAGGCATCTTGTCCATACACTACCCAGAGCCCCCAGTTCCAGAACTTAAGCCTTTGGTATATTAAGATGATGTTAGCTGTAGTGAAAGAAATACAAAAAAAAAAAAAAAAAAAAGGCTTTAAAAGTTGATGTGTCTTCCATGTAAATGAATATTGGAGGTGGCATTCCAAAAATGGCATGGCCACTCTGTTTCACAAGTCCTCAGTAATTTGTAGATTTTTAAGGTTTGGAATTCCTTCTTCCAACTCATGGCCCGAGATGGCTGCTCCAGCTCTAGCCATTGCATCCACATTCCAGCCAGCAGAAAAAAGTTAGGGAAAGGAACATTCTCTTCTCCAGAACACATCCTGGGATTATTTTATTATTATATTTTTTTCTGTTTATATCCCATATTTAGTCACAGGCTAATTGAAGAAGTTTGGGAAATATAGTGTTTTTCTTTTAGTCCTCACCTGAGGATATGTTTTAATTAATTTTATTATTATTATTTTTTTTAGGTAGAGAGAACAAGAGACATCCATGCAAGAGAGAGACATCAACCAGTTTTGTCCTGAACACACCCCAATGGGGATCGAACCTGCAACCTGGGTATGTGGATATGTACTCTGACCAGGAATCGAACCTTCCAGTGTGTGTGGCAACGTTCCAACCAATTGAGCCACATCAGCCAGGAAATATAGTTTTTATTTAGAACTAGAGGCCCAGTGCATGAAATTAGTGCACAGGGAAGATCCCTAGGCCTGGACAATACTGTTCTAGTCTTTTTAGATTACATTAGAGAAGGTACCTTCATCTCTCATCACTTTCTCTCCTTCACACCTGCTCCTCATATCAAATGTCCATCATCTACCTGCACTCATAATACAGCATAGAGGTTAAGATCATGGGGTTTAGAATCCAATAGGTACAGCCTCTTATTAGCTTTTTGGTCTGGGTCAAATTATTTATTGTCTTTGAGCCTCTGATTCTTTATCTGTATAATGGGGAT